AGCCGCCGCAGCCGCCGCCGCCGCGGGGCGAGGTCGCCGCCATGGCCCGCTGGATCCCGACCAAGAGGCAGAAGTACGGGGTCGGTGAGTGCTCGCCCCACCCCGGCCGCCGCGGAGTTCGCGGGGGCGGCCCTCCGCGGCGCAAAGTTGGGCGGTGGACGCCGGGCCGGTGGGTACGCGCGCTGCCCGGGAGCGGGGTCGGGTCCCCGCTGCCCTCGCGGGCGCGGGCGGGGCTCGGCTCCCGCGGCGGCCGTTCCCCGAGGGGGACGTCGCTCCGGGTCTGGGGAATCGGAGTGGCTGGAAGTGCACTCGGGCTCCGGGACTGGAAATCCGGCTCCCGAGTCCAAAGCGCCAGCGCTGGGCACGGGGGAGACGTCAGAAAAAAAAAAAAAAAAAAAAAAAAAAAAGGAAAAAACAAAACGAGCGCTCGCCTGCTGTCGGTTTGGGGCACCGGGCTGGGCGCTCGCGTCTCTCCTCCCCAGCCTTGGGGTTTCATTGAGTAGTTTCTAACCCGCCGCCGTCGGCGGAACGCGGGTGCCGCTCGCGGATCCAGGGCTTTCTCCCTTCTCCCTCCCTGGGCTCTCTCTGATGCTCCAGAGTGAGGAGTTGGGGATTAGAAAGCCGCCTGCCCCCCTTTCCTCCAGGGACTGGGACCTTGGTAACAGTTGGAAACTGAATGGGAGACCGAAGTTGTGGGGGGCACGTGAGGGAAGAGACAGGAAGTGTGTGACCAGGGATCGGGGGTGCCTGTCCCCGGGGGCTGATCGTGCAGACGCCCGTCCTCAACGGAGCGTGCCCCGAGCGGGTGGAAGACTGCCTTCCGAGCCCCGAGTGTCATCGTGGGAGGAGATGAGGATATTTTAGTAAGAAAACTTTGACAGGTCCTGGCTAGGCACTCGGCATTCCTAAACGGCGGTGCTGGAGAGCCCCCCACGACCCGCGGAGGGGTTGCTGTCGTGTCGTTTTGGACCCAAAACACTGGCTGTGCCTGGTTTTGAGCCAGATGAAGAACCGTGGTCCTTGCAGTGTTTATCCCGCAGTGAGGTTGCTGAGGTCTCTTGGAAACGCTGCCCTTCGCGGGGCGATTACCTAGAATAGACACAGTGGTGCGTGTTGAGGATTTTATCACTTCCTCGCAGCTTCATTCATTTGGCGTATTTGTAATTTAATCTTACACCTGAGTCCCTTCCCTGCCGCCGTGTTTCCCTCGCCTCGGTTAGTAGGGAGTGGTCCCCGAACCTGGTCGTCTGTGCTTCTGTGCTATTCTGTGCTTTCTGACAATGAAGTCCTTTTCGGAGATAAGCGTAGCAGCCTCTGGGTGCTTTGCAACTCTGTAACCACGAGTCAGTTACAAAAACAACAAACACGCCCTCTAACATTCACTATACAATGTTCTTAATTGTGACCTTTTATGTGTGTATGTCCCTGCATATATAATAATATATACTCTGTGTGTGTGTGTGTGTGTGTGTGTGTGTGTGTATTGCCTCTATTACAAAAAAACCTTTTCTCCCTCTTAAATTTTACTTAGAATCATTGCACTCTCCCGTGGCAACTCAGAAATGAGTGGGTGTTTCTTCTGCCCGACACTACCTGGTCCTAATTTGGTCATGAGGCTTCAGACAGGTGCCAGTTAGTTAAGTAACCAGTATTATGGGAGTGAAATGATTGAAATAGATGGAATCAATGTCTTTATTTTTGAGTGTTACAGAGTACTACTAAATTAAAGCATATTTAGCAATGCGTAATCATCAGTTCTTACTTACAAAGTTATCACTTCTAATTTTGTATAACAGGAACCCCAACTATCATGACTTTCATGTAATGAATGCAACCACACGCCCTACATTTTTTTTTTCGTTTTTTAAAGTTTATTCATTTTGAGAGAAACAGATATAGTGAGTGGGGGAGGGGCAGAGAGAGAGGGAGACAGAGAATCCCAAGCAGGCTCCACAGGGTCGGTGGGGCTGTCCATCACGGGGCTCGAACCCAGGAAACCTGGAGATCAGGACCTGAGCTGAAACCAAGAGTCGGACATGTAACCGGCTGAGCCACCCAAGCACCCCCCAAATGTTTTAATTGCCATAGTCATAGGAGCAACTGTGATATGTTTTCTTTTTAATGTGTTTTTTTCCTGTTGTGGAGTCAGGTTACCCAGTTATTTATCATCAGTCAAGAAAAGTATGTGAATTGCATTCCCAGGGCAAAAGGGGTAGCAAAATTACCCCAGGATATAATTTGGCACACTTATTTTACTAGACATCATAGATTCTGATTAATCTTGGCTTGACAAAAGGACCCACTGTTAGGCAGGTTAGCCGAGAAGATAAATCACTATTGTTTATTCCTAAACCCCCCTGTTGTTCCTAACACCTCCCTCCCTGCTTAGAAGCCTTCCTTGGCCTACAGGGTAAAGTCTAAATTGAGCCCAACTTTCTCCTTATAGTCATTACATTGCACCATATTTTAAGTATCCTTTCATCCTTGGGTTCAATGAATCAGAAGGTTATGGCTTTGTATCCCAGTCCCAATACCAGGTATGGAGCATGTAGTCCTAACGGCTTGTCCTTGGTGTTGAGGTGACGTTATGAAGCCCTAACCTAGTTTCTGTGATGATGTAATGCAGTTTCTCAACCCCCTCCCCCACCCCCGCCAATCCACCACAATATGAGGGTTTTTTTTTTGTTCAGTTAAACGTGTGAAGTGACAACCTTCCGTCTGTCTTTATCTTTGCAAGTGAAAAAATGTGCTGTGGAATAAATAAGGAAGCATAGAGTAGACAGACTCATTTAAATATAATTAGGAAAATTGGCTTGTTGGACTTTTCTGGGGATAGTCATCACTTACAAATGTCTGCTGGTCGGGTTGCGTTTCTGGGTGAAGGAAACCATATGATAGCCATTTTGAAGCATTTTAATGACTCACAGCTACTCTGTGTGAGGGTAGCACTTTGATCTTCATTTGGATTTTGCTCAGTGAAGTTAGCAGTCTCCACTCTTATATTATCTTGGTGCCACTGTTGGCTGTTCCTGACATAGCCTAGATTTTTCTATGGGGACTGAAATGCAATCTGTCTGGGCTTTCTTAGTTCTTAAACGTAGCTCTATTGGCTCAGTCTCTAGCATTAGGAGGGCCTAAAAGACCCATGTGTGTTATCTGTGTCATCAAGTGAGAGGACAAGTAGACTTCTTCTTTAAAGTTCTAGTCCATTAGTATCCCAGTGCGAAGTGCTCTGTGCCAAGTGCTTAGAAGCAGGGTGCTTTTCCCCATAGCCCTAGAAAATTCTCTTTTCTTTCTTGCTTTCTTTTCCTTTATTCTTTTTTTTCCCTCTTTCTTTCTCGAATGTTTTCTGTTTGACGATATGGGGGTACAAACCCTTTTATTTAGATTTAGTTGTTTTTTTTTAACCGTCCATTTGTTTCGCCCTCCCCCCCCCCCCCCCCCCCCCCCCGGGAGCAGGGCAGAGAGAGAGAGGGAGAGAGAGAGAATTCCAAGCAGGCCTCTCACTGACAGTGGGAGCCCGACGCAGGGCTCAAACTCAGGAACTGTGAGATCATGACCTGAGCCAAATCAAATAGTCAGACGTTTAACTGACTGAGCCACCCAGGAGCCCCACTTTTATTTAGATTTAAGGCCAACATTAGTGATATATACCCAGGGGTTCACTCTTCTGATTTTGGAAAGATTTGTGTTTAAATCTTTTATTTATTTTTTTTTATATTTATTTATAATTTTTGAGAGACAGAGTGAGACAAAAGTGAGAGTGGGGGATCCACGGGATCGATCCAAAGCAGGCTCCAGGCTCTGAGCTGTCCGCACAGAGCCTGACGCAGGGCTCGGGGCTCAAACCCACAGACCGTGAGATCGTGACCTGAGCCGAAGTCGGACGTTCAACCGACTAAGCCACCCAGGTGCCCCCGATTTGTGTTTAAATCTATTCCAAACAAGCCATTTATATCAATAACAGTCCCAAATTGTATTGATCGTGGATTTTTTTTTTTTTTTTGCAGACTCATTATTGTTTGTTTATTTGTGATCTATATCGTTATAATGTGATAAAAGATACTGTGGGAGAATCTTTGCTTTCACCATTAGCTCTTCATCTGTTTGGTGCAGCCTGGCCCCATTAATCTAAAAGCATTCAGCTCAGTCGAGTAGACTCTCAGATGCTGGTGTAAAAATTGAAAACAGGTTCTTGCAGCTGTTTGTTAATGCATTCAGGTGTGCTGTGGGTTCCGGTCCTGCTCTTGAGGGGAGGGTCTCAGAGAATAAATAGTCCGGTTTCCTTTTAAAGAGAAGAACTTGGTGTCTAAAGAGGTAAAGTGAATTGCTTAACACCGGGCAGCCTTTTGATTGCATAAACTCCTTAGGCCATCTGGTTAAGCCAGTGGATCGTTTTCTTAGAATAAAGTCACCTATGAAGGATTGAAAATGAAACTCAGTTGTATTGAAATACAGCTGTTAAGATATTTTTCCAAATTTGTGATGTTGTAATATATGTGCTTATTATTAATCCACTAAATAACAAGACCTAGTTGCAGGTCTAATAACTACTATACTTTTGAATTCGTGATGAGCATGTATGGTGTTTCCAGATATCTGCCGTAAACCATGATACGATCTGAAAACACCTCCGCTTTCAGTTGGTGCCAGTGGGGGTTTATTGTGCACGGTCATCATTAAAGTGATGGCTGAGTGTCAGAAAATAGAGCTGCGTTTTTTCCCCTTTTCAAGTCCGTGGATTTCTGAATTTGAACACAGATGAAGAATCCTTGGCTGAAGATCACACAGCTAATTAGTTACGCAACCAGAATAAGCAACAACAGTAACACTTGTTGGTCATGTGTCTAGAGGAGGTATGATGCTGCTAGATACACAGCTGAAGAAGTCTTTGCCCTAAGGTGTTTGTGTTGTAACATTGAGGCTAAGGATAAAGGGAATAGAGAATTAATTTTTTTTTCAAAAAAAATTTTTTTTAACGTTTATTTATTTTTGAGACAGGGAGAGACAGAGCATGAACTGGGGAGGGTCAGAGAGAGGGAGACACAGAATCTGAAACAGGCTCCAGGCCCCGAAGCGGGGCT